CCTTCCTGTGCTATTCATAGGCGAAGGGCTAAGTGCCAGTGACAGCATTAATGCTAAATTCTGTAAAACTAAGAGGAACTTCTTATTTAATTGTTCAGGCACTCTGTACGTCTGGGGAATGTGGTGCCACTGGAAGGCTAATAGAGGCAGAGGTCTCATGGTCTATTGGCAATGGGATGCTGCTGTGTTTCCTAGTTAGGTTGTTTATGAGTTAAGACTGTCATAACTGTCTGTCACTTCCTTGGAGGCTTGGTTTGATTAAACCCCTTTGTGTTGCTAATGCTAGTGGAGCTGAATTGATACTGGGATCTGCTGGGAGAGCTTAGAAAAAAGGCTTAACCTAGACATGACTCTTGGTTTGGCTGTCTCTGGGCCCAGCAGGAGGTGTTTGCAGTAGGCAGGATCTCCCAGCCCTGGCAGGGTGCTGGGGTGACCCAGGCCCCACCCTGGCTACTTGCAGGACCTTCACCCCTTTCAGAGCTCTTGTCATGTCTCCCACATGTAGCCATCCCACAGGCTCTGCTGGAGCTTCCAAACCTCTGGCAAAGGGATTTGTTCAGTCCCTGTTGTAGATTGGTTTCTGATGGTGCTGTTGAGGTGGGTGCACCTGGGGCAGGTCAGGGGCTGGTGGTGGCTGCCCTTGCTGGAACAGGTTCCAGCTGCTCTGGAGCCCTGGTTCTGGCAGGAGAAGGCTGTATGTTGCAGTGGGACCATGTTAAACTCATCAGCAGCCCCTCTGTGCTCCTGCAGCACTGGTGAGCTAAGGAATCAGGAGAAATGCTGAGTATACTAAAGTGGAGGAAGACCTGCTGCTTCCTGAGGAAAGCCTGGCCGCTGTGCTGGGTGCTGCTGCTGCTGCAGGCGAGCAGGGCTGCTGTGAACCACCTGCCCCCTCTTCCTGACCCCAGCCCTAGGAGCTGTCTCCTGGCACGGGGCTCAGGGGACGTGCCATCCCCTGTGGAGGGGACTGCTGGAGCAAGGTCCTTCCACAGATTGTGGAAAGGTCAGGAGCAAGATATGTCAGGTCTGTCCCCTTCCTGTGTCTGTAACTGGTGTAGATCATGTTCAGACCTCATCTGAATCAGCTCCTGAGCTGCAAATTATCCTGCTGCCTCTTCTAATACATATCATCACGGTGAAATTAATTTTCCATGAGAGAGTCAGCTGTTTTTTGATTGGAGTGCTTTGAAAATATCAACAGAGAAATGATTACAGGAAGCCTTCAGCACTCATTTATATAATTGGACTTTACTTTCCTGGTTGAAGTTGTTGCATCCACTGCTGGCTTGGATGAGCACTTGCACTCCCTGTTGCTTATGAGCAGGGATGTTGGGATGCAGCATCCTGAGGGGGGCACCAGCCCTGGGGTGCAGCTGTGTGCCTCTGCTCCAGCTGCTGCCAAGCTGTAGGTCAGATACCATGGTTTCCACATGTGTAAATCCCAGCAGGGTAGACTTGTCCTTTAACGGTTTAATGAATAATCTTAAGGCAGTAATTTTGGAAAATGGATTGTTAAATTTTGCTGATTCATGTTCTGCTTGGGTATTGAGGGTCTGCTGGAAATGTGTAGGAAAAGGGGCATCTACTCCGCAAACTCATAGCAGCTAAAATCCCTCTGCTGTCCTTGTCCAACTGCTCAGTGGCTGTGACCAGGTTGTTACTCCTGCCTGTGTGTGTTCTGAAGTGCTCTGTGCTCAAATGGAATAAAGGCAGAAGGCCAATGTAATTTCTGAAATCATCCTATGTGTTTAGATATAGATTGCCTATATCTTGCAACATTGAGAATTTCTTTTTGGCTGAGCCCTGCTTCAGGTCAAGTGGTCGGGTGCATGTTCCTGCCCTGGCAAGGGCAGCAGAGGGGATGCTCAGCATCTCCTTCCTCCTCTGATGGTGGCTTCAGAACTAATTAATTTAAGCACCATGTGGGTATGAAGAGTGAAATGTTTTCCGCTATGTTTTAAATCCGATTTTCTGGCCCAAATCAATGGCGTGTTCTGCATAAACATGGGGTTTGTGAAGCCGATCTCATGGTGGTGACTCGTTTTGAGGGCTTATCCCTAAGCTGGGGTTTGTGGGGCCACGGGGGTTTCTTGGTGTTGGGTGTGTGGGATGTTGATGGCACAGCTCATCCGTGCCCAGGTGTCTTCTTAATCATCAGAGTAAAGGGGTTAATACATGAAAAGGCAACTGCTGCCTTAAACAAAGCTGGTGCTGTTTGTGCTGGCACTCCCCTGGGATGGTGGCTGCTGTGACAGTCTGCTCAGGATTCCCAGAGCAGCTCGGCCAGCCCTGCCTGGCAAGCCATGTCATGTGCTGTGCCCAGGCCCTGCTCCGTCTGCCTGCCAAGGCAGCGCCGAACAAGCGGCGCTTTCACTGCGCCCGACAAACCTCCCTGCTCCTTAAATCAGGCAGGATTGGAGGCTGATTTGTGTCTCTCATTCTTTCATGCTTCATCAAGCCTGGCTCTGCTTTCTCCAGCGAGTAGAAGGTATAATGAAGGAGAAAGTGAAATTACTTGTTCAGCATCAGCAAGTTGTGCCTTGCCACTGACTCCAGCTCTGTGAAAGCTCTGGGAAGTGCAGGGTTGCTGCCTCCCCTTCCCTTATAAACAGCCTGCTCCTGATAAACATCTCAACTCAGTGGCTTCAGCTGCCCTTCACTCTGTGCAAAGAGGAGAGGAGCTGTGTCCCTGCTCTTGGTTAGTCTTTTGGTTTCTGGGAGGGCAGCTGGGCAGTCTCTGACCCTCACGGTTTGCTGGTGGTGGTGGTGGTGAGGCTGTGCAGTGCTGCTCTCCCCTGAGCTCTGCTGTGCTTGCTGTTCCTGTTGCTGGATGTGTTGTTTCATGCTGTTTCCTGGTACAGAGCCTCACAGTACTTCTGGCTGCAGCTTGGGGTGGATGCTGTCACTGGGGCAGAATGTTGTAAATGTGTCCTTAGGAGCTGTATGCCCCAAGCATCAACTCTTAACACGTTGCCTTTTGCAACTAAGGCAGAGTTCTGATGTGGGCTGCAGAGCTGAAGGAGTTGCTTAACCCTTGTAGTGGTCATCTAGGAGACCCATCGTCTGCCTGGTCTACACAGGCAGGTTGGGACAGAGCTGCCCTAACCTCAAGGCCATGCCAACCTGATGGCATCGCTCACTTTTCACTGCTAACCCCTAAGTAGCCCATTTCTGTAAACTCTTTTTTTTCCCCCAGCAATTCCCATTTCCCTAAGTCCTGGTTGGCAGCTGCCTGGTAGTGCTGGGGCAGTGATGGAGAAGGATGCTGGGGCTGGACTGCTGGTGCAGGGAGGTGATGTGAGGTTGTGCTGAGCTCTGAGCAGGAGTCCGGAGTGTGAGCATATGGATGCTTTAGGGCTGGATGTGAGGCTTTGCATGGAGAAATTCAGCTACATTTGTTTCTGGCCTGCAGTACCACATCAAAATGCCAACTTCTCCTGGATCCTTATCCCCTGGGGATCTGCTAGAGCAAGTCTCCCATCTTTCTGAGCAGGAGCAGCCCTTGCTGCCTCTCACTGTCGTTGCAACGGGAGTATCCTGCCAAGAAACTGCACCTGAGCACAGGTTTGTTTTGTAGCTCTCACTAACCAACCTGGAGGTTGCTCTGGGTTGCAGAGCTGGCTCCAGAAGAGCTGGGACAGCAAAGTGGGTTTAGGTGCAGCTGTGGCTGAGACAGGTCCTGCTTGTTGGTGGTGTAACTGCTGGCTTAAGGTGCCATTGCTGGCTCCACCATGAAAGGTAGAGGTATGGGAAGGGTGAGGCTGGACATGGGCTCTTAAAAATCCATTTCAAGCCATTTAGTTGCCAAACACTTAATACAGCTGACCCCCTTCTTGCTGAAAATCTGGTGATTCCCCAGGCTGGGCATGGCAAGGGGGCTCTGGGTACAGCAATGGTGTGTGGCCTCCATTGCCCTTTCAAATATTTCCTTAGCTGCATGAAACCAAGATATAGTTGGGATTGGGAAATGCATCTGGGCAGGCTCTTCCAGTGGCTGACTCAGTGTGGGTGTAGAAGTGGACAGGGGGACAGTGTGTCAGTGTGTGGACCCATGGGGGGGGGTTTGAGGACACCCTTGCTCTCCAATAGCAGTGCCACCTCAGGGTGCCCTGTCTAATCTGCATGCCTGGTGGCTGCTGTGGTGACTGTACCTTGGCTCTGGCAGCTGCCTATTTCAGGCTGTTGCAGCTTGTGATACACCTGCTGTTGAAATGACCTCTCTATTAGGGATGATTCCTGATGAGTTTTTATTGCTACTGCCCTACTCTCTGCGGAGTCTCTTTTGTTTCCTTGGCTTGGTGCCTTCTTCACCTCTCCTGAAGTGTCTTTTGACCTGTTTTTTAGTTATTAGTGCAGAATTGGCCTTTTAAATCTCCTTATTTTCAAATTTATTTATTTTTTCTTGTTTAGCCCAACACGTGACTGCAGTGGGGCTGTGGCTGGTACTGTGATGCTGGCGAGGGGTGCTGCTGTGTGCCATCCCCATGGGTGCCCATCCTGCTGTCCTGCTGCTGGTGACACAGGGCTATGCCTGCCACTGTTTTCTTTGGGGCTGGTCCTTGCCAGCTGGGTGTCAGCGTCAGCTGAAACCTAAGGAGGTTCAGCTTCAGCTGTGCCAGGGCACGGAGTCAGTGGGAGAGGAGGGGGAAAGAAACCTGCCTGGTGGGGGAGACTGTTCTCAGGAGCCCAGGGGGCTTGTGCTGCAAATGCTGCCTGCTCTGGGATGTGTGGATTGCCAGTGGGATGGTTTTTGTGGTGCCCTTTGAAGTCCCTCTGCCAAGTAAGCATCAATCCTTGGTGCTGCAGTCTAGGAACAAATGCCCGTCTCCGGGCATGCAGCTTAGTTTCCTGTTATAATGATGTTTCCCAATTAAACTTCCTTTCTTAAGCAGCAGAAGGAACTGTTGTTTAAGCTGCAATCCTGTGTTACAGTCTGCATCATCAGGCCTGGCTGGGTACATTCCCCTTAGGAACCAGCCAGGGTTCCAAACGTGCCTTACGCCTCCGCTTCCCGGCTCTGTGCCCTTCCCAGTTCCCATCGGGCAACTGAGGCACATGTGACCCAGGGATCCTCCTGGCAGCAGGGAGCTGAAACCAAACAGGAGGCTGGGAGCGGTTCCAACAGACTCCTGTTTCTCTTTCCTACAAAAGCTGGTGCTAATGAAAATTTTCCCATTTTTTTTTCTCTTCCCACCCCCCCTCCCTTGCAGTGAACACCTACCTCTTCATGATGCAAGCCCAAGGCATCATGATCCGTGAGAACATGCGAACTATAGGAGCTCAGGTGTACGAGCAGGTGGTCCGCAGTGCCTATGCCAAGAGGAACAGCAGCGTGAATGACTCAGGTATTTCTGGAATAACTCTCATTTTGATCAAAGGTGCCATTTCTGCTGGAAATTGGGCTCACCTGAACCACTTTCTCTCGAAGGAATTAACTTGTGCTGGTAAACGCAGAGTGGGAACTGATTAATTGGTTTCTATTTTTATATATATAACAAATATATAGAGGATGACTATATATATGCACACACTATAAATATATAAAAATAATATTCTTTTCTTTATAAAAAAATTCAAATGCTTCCTATTTTTATAAGGGGTGAAAATCCTCAAAGGCCTTAAATGACAACATGTGGAGGTGAAAACCTCTCTGCTTTCCAGGAATTCAACTTGTTAGCTTCGACCAGTCCTGAGGGTAAACGCTTGGAAATTTCAGTGCAAGGATCAGGTTTCATACTTAAAAAAAAATTACTTCCCAGGCAAACACATGCACAGAGTCCTGGCTCCATGCACGTGGAGGAGCCTGTGGTCGTAAGCTTCACTCCTCCCATGCAAGGATGAACTGAGATGACTTGGCTGGAGATATGCCACAAATAAAACATTGAACTTTGGGCAGAATGCAGGGAGTGGAGTCGTGGACTCCCACTCCCAGGCTGTTCATCATCTGTAATGTAAAGCTGATAACGGGGTTACTAGTTTTAGTTATAAATATGGTACAGTGAAGCATAAATGTAGGTGGCTGTGTGTAAGCCAGGGTGAGGCATTGCCTTCAGGCTGCTGTGACACTGAGCATGTACCTTCCCTGTTGACATGTCACTGGTGTGTCACTCTGGTGCACTTGGCATCAGACTGAGGCAGTGCTGGGGAGCTCAGCTCAGCTCCTCCCCTGTGAGGGCTTAACAGCAGGGACTGATGGAGTTTTACAAGACAAGATTATTTCCTTATTAATAAAAGCTACAAGCTGTGTCCTTACTGCCCAGCCTGCTGAGGAGCAGGTGGTGCAGATGCTAGATCAGCTGTACTTTGACCAGGGATGGGCATGGAAGGGAAATTAGCAGCTTGCCACAAGATTGACACCCTGGGTTGCCTCCTCTCCCCACTAGAGCTGGCCAGGGCTGCCAGCCCAGGCTATTTTTAAGGCTGGAAACATCCAAATAAAGCAGACACAGGGTGAGGAAGTAGCTGATCCGCTGAGGGGAGGAGGGTTAGATGCTCCACTTGCAGTGATGAGAGCCTTTGTTCCCCTGTGGTCCTGCCCTTCAGGGCTCTGAGCCCTCCAAAAACGTTAAGTGCTCCTGCTGCCTGCAGCAGACAGAGCAGTGGTGACCACGTTAGTGTCAGCCATACCAGCACTGCTGCTGGTATGTAACTGGCTGTGCTCAGGTCTCATGCCCATCCCAGCTGCAGGCATGGGCTGATATCCCTCCTGCCCCAAGAGCCCTGGCTGCAAGGATGGTTTTATCATGTACCAGCACTGTGCACTGTCCTGGGTCGACCTTCCCAGGCAGGCAGGTCAAAGCAGACATGTGGTGGATGGTGGTGACATCTGGAAGGAACCTAGCGCGGTGGCCACAAGGATTATATTAACACTGTGTGGGGAAAGGTATCAGTATCTTCTCTCTCCGGCTCTGGGTGGGATCTGGGTGGGTGGCACTGGTTTGTGCATCCTCCCCACCCCACTGTGGGCAGTGTGGCATTGTCAGAGCCAGGAGAGCAAACCTGCCTGGTACAGCTGCAGGGAGGGACCCAGCAAAGACCTTGGCTGTCCCCTTCATGACTCAGAGCTGCTGAGGAGCAGCTGCTGGGCTCTCCTTGTCCCTATCTTACCCCGCAGGCAGCAGCAAATGTCACATCCCTGCATTCCTTCCTCTCTTCTCTGTCAATGTGGGCCCCATGGTGTGCTTCTGCAGGTACCTGCT